CTTGTAAAGTCGCACACTTGCTTGCTTAGCACTTATCCTAAATATTGTTTTAATTTTTGGCTCAAATGCATATACAAACATACGTATGTACTTAGACTTCGATTTATGAATGTATGTACATATAGAAATATATATAATTAGCGCTTTTTAACCGCTAAAGCAATTTACGGCCGAACTCTTCCTCCACTTTGTGGCATGGATCTTAATTGGTTTCCTAACAAATGAAGGGACCTACAGTTTATACTAAGCCGCCTCCGAACGGCTAATGGATTTTTATGTGGAGCGTTGATTGTCATGTCAGAACTCCACTCGGAGGGCTTGACATTCCTTGACAAGATGCGACCGCAATTTAAAAAAATTTATTTTCCATACTGTTGTTGGTTGGGCCAGGACTCGAAACCACGATATTCCGCATCATAGTACGCACTGCACCCAAACACTCAGCCCGAATGGCCGCCACTGTAAGCACAAACGAGGGGCGACTGATAAAGTGGCAGCTTAAAGTACTTAATGAAACTAATGGATAGTTTTATGCTCTTTATTTTTCAATATAGTCTCCCTCAAGTGAACTCTTCACGCCGTGAATACAATGCTTTTGTACCACTGGAAAAATATTCTTTGGCTTTCTCTTCAAAATGGTTTTCTACGGCCGTTTTCATCTCACTGTCGTTTGAAATTCTTCGTCCCCTGATCTACTTTTTTTAAATTTGAAAAAAGCAAAAAGTCGCTAGGAGCCAGTTGTAGACTATGGGGTGGATGGTCCTCCTTCGCAGTAAGGCTTCCTTCACATCCCAAGCGGTTTGAACGGGTGCGTTACACACCGCACGCTTACTTGCCACGTCCCTTCTGTACGACTGTTTCATGCGCCATACTCAACAAATTTACGGAATACTGGCCGTTAATTGCAGTTCTCTTTGAAAAGTAATCACCTTACAATATACCTAGAAAAAAGTCTTGATCTTCGAGGCCGCCTTTTCCACTTTGAATTTTTTTTTGTCGAGCTGCTTGAGCACGCGGTACCCAACGAGCAATAGTTTTTTTCATATTTTCATCTTCTAATAAAATGCAAAATCTCTCTAGCTCGATCTTTGTTAAAATGTAGTCCTTAAGCTATCTTCCACAATTTATTTCTTCGGTCAGGTAGTACTAACTTTTAACTTTTTAGAACAATTTCTTCGGTCCCGATCGTCACTAGTCGCCCCAGTGGGGGTCAACATCACAGTTCTCTTTTCCTTGTTGAAACAGCCCAGTCGACTTTTTCACCATCGTGTATAAAGAGGCAGAGTCCTCAAGCACCAGTGACATCTCTTTAAAAATTTCCTTCATCGTACTATATTTCAACAAGGAATGCATGCACAACACGCTACCCAAAATTACGAGAATTTGTAGTTTTCGTTGACATAGTGTTTTTGATTGTTCCAGCAAAAAAATGTTAATTGACTTAATAAAAAAAGTTCGGTTATTTGTACTAATAATGAGTTTCGCAATTAGTATTATCAGTAAAAAGATTATGTGTCATCTGTAACTACCTTTGGTCGCCCCTCGTATATATTCACAGCTTTGGCTTGAGTTACTATTTGCTTTGAAATAAGGGTTTAAGGATTTTTGTAAAATTAAAAGCTCATCCATAAAAGCTTACTCATACTACTACATACACAGATGAATTTGTTTGCAGCATTTTCGTATTCATTAATTCATATTTAAACGATTTTGGCTGGCAGTCGTTTGTCATTTCGGAATAAGCTGACGCCAATTTTAATTGCACCATCTTAAAGCTCTTCATTGCGCAATAATAAAGGAAGGGGCACAGCAGAAGTTCTGCATTTTTAAATAATGAGATTTTTCCCAAATATTATTTTTATATATAATTCTAATTAATTTTTTTTTTGCAAAAGTAAAGGGAAAAGTCTCTTTGATCAAAATCGGGAATCAAAATAACACCTCTAGTTGGAAACCGCTTTATTTTATTGTATCATTATTTTTAGAAATAAAAAGTATTTTGAAAATCTTAAAACAGGTTCTTATACGTTTTAGTATTAGAGAACAAAATCATTTGTTTGTTTTTCAAAATATTTAAAATTAAGTTTGAACCAATTGTCGAAGCACTCTTGCCGCTCTTATTGAAGTGTCACTAAAACATGTATTCTAAACGCATCAACCCCGCCTCTTCTAGTGTTCTACAGTGAGCTCTCAGTTTTTTTTACGTATATATGTATATATAATTGGCACTTTGCATCTTGAAGTTTTTCCAATACATAAATGGAGGGACCTACAGCTTATACTAAGCCGTCTCCGAACGGCAGACGGTCTCTTTTATGAGGGGCTTTTATTTAATGTCAGAAATATTCTCGGGGGGTTGACATTTCCTGCCGAGTGAGCGACCGCAATTAGAAAATTTTAATTAATTTTTTATTTTAAATTAATTTAACATAATTTTCTTGGATATTAGGAAGATATCAGAATTTGGACCCGAGCGTTCCGAATGGCAGTGCGCAATGCTAACTGCTGGGCTACCTCGGCAACTTTCGGACTTATACGCGAAAATCGCCCGCGATTCCGTACCTGTAATGATGTCACAGACGTGTTTCGAAGCATGTTTTTGTGGGAAGTTCTTCTGCATTACTTTAACATGAAGAAAAGTGCTACCGAAAGCCATCGTATTTTACTGTACGCTTATGGTGATCATGCTTTAGCCGAACGAATGTGCCAAAAGTGGTTTGCAAGGTTTAGAAAGTGGCAATTTTGACTTAGGCGACGGACAGCCAAAAAAAAAATTCAAGACGAAGGATGGGAGACATTGCTCGACGCAGATGCATGCCAGACGCAAGAAGAATTTGTAAAAGTATAATATTAGGGGTTGAGCAAGCAACCGTTTCCAGACGATCAAAATCATTAGGATTCATCCAGAAGCTTGGAAATTGGGTGCCCTATGAATTAAATCCAAGACACGTCGAACGTCGATTCTGCATGCCGGAAATGTTGCTTCAACGTCTCCAAAAGAAGTCATTTTGCATGGGATTGATTATGATAACCCAAAGCGCAAGATATCGTATGTGAAGCTCGGCCAACCATCGACAACCACGGCAAAAGCCGAATATCCATGGTGCCAAGGTTATGCTATTATTTGGTGAAACCACAAGGGTGTGTTCTATTATGAGCTATTAAAATCGGGTAAATGCTGACCTCTACCGAAAACAAATGATTCATTTGACAAATGCCATTGCGGGAAAACGACCAGAATATTCGATAATTTTTCATCACGACAACGCTCGGCCACATGTTGCAAGGCCAGTTCAAAACTATTTGGGAAACTGTGGGTGGGAAGCTCTACCTCATCCACCTTATAACCAAGATATAGCACCTTCCAATTACCACTTGTTCAGATCAATGCAGAATGCACTCACCGGAGTACGCTTCACTTCAGAACAGGGTATCAGAAATTGGCTCCATTCTTTCTTGACCTCCAAGCCGGAAAAGTTCGTTTGGGAGAGGAACCACAAACTGCAAGAGAGATTTGCAAACATCGAAGCTTCCGAAAATACTTTGAACACTAAATGCATAATAATTTTTCCACAATAAAATCTTAATTTTTGGAAAAAAGAACGAATTAATGCATACACCCAATATATATAAGTGATATTTTGTGGTGAACGGCCTGATATTTTCTCCAACGAAGGGAGAAATCTATAGCTTATTATAAGCTGCCTTCGAACGGTTGATACACTTTTATGAGAAGCTTTTATTTCATGCCAAAAATATACTAGAAGGGATAGATATTCCCTGTTAAGGGGCAAACGCAAAATAGCTTTTAATTTCGTTTTCTATAATTTTGGAAAATAATCTGGCCTCAGCTTGAATCCAGAAGCCTTTTCGAGGTAGTGTATACTATTAATCAATCGAAGTATGTAACCAGAATTGATATACCTTTCATGTATATGATATGGTATGCAAATAATTTATAAGTACCAGAAGGAGGAGAAGATATGGCCAAATATACTGATATGATCAATGTCCGTTTACCCATATATTTGTACGCCAAATTAATCACTCAGATTTTGATATATTTCAACGAAACCTGGTAAACAAAGATACTGGTATATTTGAACAATCTTGTAACGGCCATAATGTATAAGTCCCTATGAGGATTTAGTCAAAACACATTGTCACCGAAAATCTTCGAAATTGGGACTATACAATATCATACAACCTCTTTTTTTTTAATTGAGGTTTTGGGCTGTCAAAACCATATTCACAAGCGTAAGCTTTGATATAATACAAACATTTGTAGAAATAAATATTGACACCGAAAATCATTCAATCATTCAATCATATTTGCAGAAATACCATTATTAATATATGTCCATTGAAGGTATAAAGACTTCAGCATGCCCGAGGAAAGCTTTTCTTTCTTGTTATACACAATTTTTTACTGGAAATCTGTGATTAGTTTTTTGTGAATATTTTTCTCTTTTACAAACTAAATTTTTTTGCATTACTGTTAAATATAAACTGTAAGTGTACATGAAATTTTAAGTATTAATTTAGTTCATTTCAAGTGTGCCGAATGTGGCCTGCAATCTCATACAAATTATAATGAATAATATATCATACACTTTTAATTTTTCATTACAATGCAATTTCGAGAATCTCTGTATAAATTCACTATTTGCTCACGCTTTTATTTCGAATTAATAGCATTCAAGAGTACATTTCCGCCAACAATGAGATGCGGAATATTCAGTCACTCATACGACCCGTTGTCCACCAAATCGGCGACAGCAAGCATATAAACGTTATTTTGAGTATTGTAAATTGCATTGCGATTGTTGTTGGAAGCTGTAAATAAGTTGTCATGGTTGCGGCATTTTTTTTGTGATTATTACAATTTTTTTTAATTTTTTTTGCATTTTTATTGATCGATTATACGTTACACGAGTGTGATGAAGTTTTTATGCATATTTGCCTTTCTGTCTCTTTTATTTAAATTTGCAATTCCACAGAATCATCACGAATTACTTTGTGGTTTCATTGGCTGTGGCGGATATGTTGGTGGCGCTTTGTGCAATGACATTTAACGCTTCCGTTGAGATAACGGGCAAATGGATGTTTGGCGCCTTAATGTGTGACATTTGGAACAGCTTCGATGTGTACTTCTCAACGGCGAGCATTATGCATCTATGCTGCATATCTGTGGATAGGTGAGTATGTGTTGGTAGCAAAAAATAAAAAAAAATAATAATAAATGGTTTTTTTTTTAAATTTTTTTACTTTTTTATTAATTTTTTTTTAATATATTGTATAAACAAAATAATTTTTTTTATTATTTTCTTCCCCCTCTTAACAGATATTATGCAATTGTGCAACCACTCGATTATCCACTGATCATGACACAGGGTCGCGTATGTGTTATGCTTCTAATGGTCTGGATATTACCTGCCCTGCTCTCCTTCCTGCCCATCTGCACCGGTTGGTATACGACGGCCGAAAATTGGAAATATTTGAAAGCCAATCCACATGTAAGTACCCTTACACACACGCACCTGCATGCATACATGCAAATTATTTGGCAGCATAAATAAAGAATGACGCTTTGATGGAAAAAAGTTTGTTGCTATTGCATATATTACATTGAATGCTTCGTGGCTAAAGTGCATTCACAAAATGTGCCAAGCAAAAGTGAGAAGAAGAAAGAAAAAAAAATCAGAAAAAATATCTCGAAAATAATATGTCAGTAAAATTGGAAAAATACAACAAAACTTTTGTTACATCATAGGTATAATATTGCAGCTGCTTGCTGCCAACAGCTAAATGAATGGCTCACAGTACAGCAGCAACAACAGATGGTCCACATATGTATGTATGTATGTATGTAGGCACATGCAACAGCCAGCGTGTGACAGTTTGATTTATGAGTTTGATTTTTCATGCATGCAACCGCAGCTCATCACGTAAGAGTATACACAAAGAGCACATACGTGAGTGTAGTGTACATGCCCTGCAGGAAAAAGCAAAACCAGTACGAAAAAATTTTAGTTCATTTAAAATTAAGTCATACCGTGCGCTATATGTTGGAGAACATCTAGCAGTTCACCAGTGTCGGAAATAAGAATAATTTGCGCCATCACACCACTGCTATGCTATGTACATTTCTAGTCCAACATGAGTCTGTTATGTTTTCTGTTATGCTCTGTCGAAGTGCGCTGAATGTCGCTACTCGTTACATCATCGCAATAGCCGAGTGGTTAGTGTTTAAAACGATCGTGCTACTGAGATTCACCGTTCGAGTCTCTCAGTAGACAAATGGATTTTTGTTTCATTGCCTTTTTGGTGATATTGAATTTCAACATGCGTAAATAAACCAGTAATAAAATACTACGAAGCTGTTGCGAAAAATTGACAGTTCGTAGAGCATCGCCGTGTTGCTCATATGGGGGAAGAAACAAAAAATTAACTAGTTGGTGTGGAAATTTAAACTGGTTGGGTTCTAGTTAATAACTAGTATTTTTCCCTGCATATTATGCTCATATGAGTACATAATGTGAAAATGGTGGCAAGAAATGCTATCGGACGTTGTTCTAGAAAAAAAATTAATAGACAGTTCTGAGTATGTTTAGATGTTAGTTCCAATCAATCGATTTATTATCTGCCTTATTAAGCTATTTATTTTTCTATTAAAATTATTTGATTTAACAGCACAGAAAAATGTTTTCGACACCAATGAATAAAACACAAACATGAATTGAAATTTAAACAAAAAACAAAAAAAATGCATGAGTTCAAGTGGGATTTGTTCATCTGTTTAGTTATTAAATTGAGCTACATGAAAAATGGGTTCCTTACGCAAAGCGAACCGTGCCGGAAAACTACAGATGAAAGAGAAAAGAAAAGAGACGCTATTTTTGTTCGTTAAAACGGGAGCAGGAAAGTCAAGAGCATGAGAGATCGAGGTTTTACGAGATAGAAAAAGAAGTTATTCGGAGATTCTACCCGCAGGCCAACCGACTGACCCAAGCTTTCAAGCCGTGCGCGTAGAAATGGAAATGGTAATAACTGTTACAAATATGTAGTGTGCTGAGATATTATGAAGGGAGCAACTTTGAGAGCTGCTTGCAGGCGATGACTTTACCAATCCCGTCCCTATAGGAAACAACAAGGTACTGTTAACCAACATTCCAGCACCTAGCAAGCACAAATTCACATCCCTATGAAGTTGTTAAAGCTGATGGCGTCGAGCTTAGCATCTCCAAAATATATAGCTAACGAAATGTATGCTCGATGATTTGGAATCTCAGTGTTTTTTGCCTTGTAATGAAGAAGTAGACCGGACGATATGATTTAACTGCCGGAGAATCAGTGTTATTGACATTCCATACAAGGCTCTGCCGTTTGCACTCTGCGAAAGGCAAAAGCCGTTTCCAAAATACTGTTTGGACCTTAGATGTGTGGCTTTAGATCTGGTAGGTCCACCGTCGATCAGATTTTCAGATTTAAGAAAAAAAATATACGATCCATCACTTCTTTATCCATTACAAATCCGCTTATTATGGATCAATAAGGGATGTTTCTATCATGTCTAAGCTTTTCAGCTTTGTAGAATGACATTGAACAGCACCATCTTTTCCGTGAAGGTAAGAATGGACCTCTCCAAATTGTTCAATACAGCTCGAGGTACTAGTCAAGGCGAAACTCTATATTGTGACCTCTTCACCTTCAGGCTGGAATGGGTATCGGTGAAATGCATTCTCCAGAGGTCTGTACAGCTATTCAATATTTCCTCCATGAAATATCATCATTAGCCTGGAAATCTAGCGCAACTGGTACTATTTTGGATTGAGTAGATAATTAAAAAGCAAAGTCCTCTCCCGACGAACGAAGACCAAACTCGACAAGTCACACATCCTTCTGCTATATAGTGCGAAGGCATGAACGATCACTATATCTGATGACTTGCTAACACCAAGTTTTTGAAAATGAGGTTTTGCGTAAAATGTGTAGTCCTCTATGAGTTGGTAAAGACCGCAGCCGATGGAACCATGAGCTGTACGAATTATACGCCAACATTTTCTTAGTTCAGCGAATCAAGAGGCAGCGGCTAAGCTGGATGGGCCATGTCGTCCGAATGGATAAAAATACTCCAGTGTCCGTTGGTGGAAGTAGAGGAAAAGCGACACCTCTTCCATTCTCTTCCATTCCATTCTTTTGGAAAGAAGCATAGGTCAATTATTTGAACTTTTTGTTTTACTGAATTTTCCTACGTCAATTTCCTGGCGAAGTTCTTTAGTTAGACATCTTTAACCACAATGCATTTGACATTAACTAAAAATTTTGTTGTTCTTTACGTATATGTACGTGCACGTGTACATAAATCATTTACACTTATATTTGTATGCATGTATATTGCAGGCTTTCAGCTTCTTATATAAATAGTGAGTACTTACAGTCAAATTGCATCATTTTTCCGCCATTTTTCTTGATAAATATGATTTGCTTACAAGCTGCCGACATAATGTGTGTTGTACTCGTATGATGATGCGTGCGGGATTATGGATTTTAGCTGGGAAAGTGCTTATTGCCGATACTTACAAGGAACATGAGTACATACTTACATAATATTTACTTTAGCGAAATTTACTTTTCCTAGTTGAAATTGTAATCACTTCCCTTGTCAACTATCAACGACATTAAATTACATACATACCGTGTTTACTCTTTTACATATTTACATATCTACATGTGCAAACTATAATTTAGCATCCCCAGTCTCTTCGCTGTTATGAAGTGTTGTGTTGGCATATCTGAACCTCATCATTAAGGCACACATGCATGCTTTTATTTACTTAGAATTTTACCAATGCACACACATTAATTTCAATTCAGCGAAACAGTTTACACATATATGCCTACTTTAATTCCATTATCGATGACTACTCGTATGTCAAGAGCACGCACGGAACAGGAGAGTTCGTTTCTTCTTCTCCTTCAATTATAAGACAACTGAAATTGACTAAAAGCTAAAATAGTTAACGAAATAACCTTTATTGCTTTAAAGAGCTTGAGGATATACAAATTTGTTTTCCGAATATGCGTTAATCCCTGAATTAGAAATAAGATTACTTCATCAACTTCTAGGTTTATCTATCTTTTTGCTAAGTTGTTATTATTCAAAATAAATAGTTCTTACTAACCGAGTGGAGACTTTCAAAGTAGAAGTCATGTTACCCATACGCAGTCTCTGCATTCATTGAACCACGCAAATGTCGACGTGTATCTCATACTGGTTCTAGTCCACTTCCGACAAACACTAAGAATTATAGAAATTTAATTGAAATATTGTATAAAATGAAGCTAATTTTTCTAACTGTGGCAGGGAATGCCAAAACCTCTGATATAAAAGCTTCTCTTAAAAACCATCAGCCGTTCAAGAACGCACAACCTTTCTATCAAGATCGACTCAGCGGATGCTGTCAACGTGAGTTTAGGGACTTGCAGAGTTTAGTTTTCGTTCTGCGAAAGAGAAATTTACTTTTAAATTGTTTACTCATTCCAAAGTAGCACCTGTTGCTAGGAATAGTTGTGCGTTGGATTTGAAGCTGCTTCTTAGATAAATGTAAATTTATACGAATTCAAGGGTGGCACCATCAATCGACCGGACCATGAGTACCGAGTAACTAATGCTATGACTCCTTTTTTGATGTTGGAATATAAAGGATGATTCATTAGGTTGTGTCAAATTTAATTCATTAACAATTATCATTTGAAAGAACATTCCTTGGCATTTAGTTTTGAAGATTATTTCATTCAAATGTTGGTCGCGGCTATGTCTCAGATGGTCCAACCGTTGAGTTCAATTTTCGATGACTCGTTCGAGCATTACGACTGGTAACTGGCGAATGACACGTGTGATGTTATACTTCAAGACCTCAATAGAAGTGGGATTGTCGGCGTAGTTTTTAGACTTTACACATACCAAGAAGAAAAAGTCTAACGGTGTGATATCACACGATCTTGGTGATCAATCGACCACCCCAAAAAGTAAAGTTATCTGTTCATCAAAGTGTTCTCTTCTTAAATCTACTGATTGTTGCGATGCGTGGGAGGTCGCGCCGTCGACGAGATCACTAGCTTAAGTCGATTATAAGGGCGCGACAGCGGTGTTGTTGTTGTAGCGGTCAACAACTAAGCGCGATAGTCATTAACGGTTACTTTTCACCGCCATAATTTTTGAAGAAATGCACCGATAATTGCCTAAGCCAACCATCCACATCAAACTGTTCTTTTTTCTGGATGAAATTGCAGCTCTTGAATCTCTTCAGGTTGCTCTTCGTCGCAAATACGGGAAATTTGTTTCTTTACATACCCATTTTGCTGGAAATGGGCCTCATCGCTTAACAAAGTTTCGCATGAAAACGTCGGATCTTCTTGGAACTTTTCAAGAGCCTATAGAGCGAAGTGATGTCACTTGAGAAGGTCGAGCGCTTTAGTTCTTGTACAAGCTGTATTTTGTTTCTTTCAATTAAAAATTCTATTATTTTGCGTAAAATGCGTCAAATCGTTCCATTTGTCAGTCCAAGTTACTGCGAACAGCGCCGAATCCATTAACCATGGTCTTCGTGTACACTCTGAGCTCGATGTG